ACTCTTGCTCTGATGCTCAGACAACGTCGTTTACAGCAAAAAGCTGTTTTAACGTGAAAAATAACCCAAAAGCTGGGCTATAGGATGTTATTACAGATCTCTGAGTTGGCTGAGGTGCATTGACCTTAGTCAGAAGCATCTGTGCAGAGGATGCAGTTTTGACCAGCTGTGTCCTGCAGCCCGGGCTGCTGGGGGTTTCCCTATCTCAGCACGTGCCGGGCAGCTCGGACAGCTGCTGCTTTGTGGAGTGCCTGTTCGGGAGTGCCGGAGTAGCTTCTTAGAGTAAACTTATTTCTGGAAGACTTTTTATTCATAAAAATGTCCTCTTTGTAGACTGATTTTTATTGATGGAGACAACTGGGACCCACAAAAGTACAAGAGTCTTTGATCCATTAACCATTACACCAGTAATCTGGCTTGTGGAACCCCGTATTTAATGTTCAACCTCCACTGCCACCTTCTATTCAGGTTTTCTTTCTTGAAGAACTAGGTCAAACTCGTTTAATGCATCCGTGAGTATGTCACGCTATCTGTTTTTATCGAAATGCAGTGCTACCACTTCCTACTTGCCATTTTATGGATGCCAGTTGAACTAACATGCCTGGTTTTGAAATTCTCCCCTGGTTTGCAAATGCTGCTGATACTGTGCTTAAAGCATGCTGGCGAGAGGCTGCCCCACATCAAAGCTAAGAAATACTGAAAAATTATCTGCACAGTTTATTTGTCTTCTCATCATCATGGCCTTTCCTCTGTATCCTTGCAAAGTAGCTTCTCTATTCTGCATGCTGTGAAAACAAATGTAGTGGCCAATGCACCAGAAGAAGCTGATTATCAGTTTGTTCTTATACAGTTTGAGGGGAAGTGTCCCTGTGTTTGAATAGCAATTGAAGGGGAAGTGATTCTGTTTTAGCACATTCTTTTGAGAAGACAGGGGAAAATAATGATGAAAGGGATGTTTACAGCTATTTACTTCACAGGGATGGCAGCTCCTAGATTGAAAGATGCCTCAAGGAGGGCGATGGCCAACTGCTCATTTTCCTGTGAAAACGAAGGATAAAAAGTGCTTTTTTGAAAACTAGGCTTTGTCCTAAATCTTCAGAAGTCTTGATTTAATTCCACGTTAGAAAAAATCTTACTAAAAGTCTTCCTGGCTATAGATACATTTGTGAGAATAGCAGTAGGTTGGAAACAGGTTGTGGCTGGGACTGAAGCAATGCTGTAATTCATTCAGCTGCCTTAGGGCAGGATCAACTAAATTGATGTGCTGTCAACTGAATAAAATTTAACACAGGCTGTATTTAAGATGACCTAAAACCATTACGGCAGTGTAGTGTTAATTATCTGTTTACTCCTTAATCATCTAAATAGTGCTGATTTTTTTTTTCTCTCTCTCCATTTTAACACGTGAGGGATTCGCCTGTTGTCGCCTTGCTTATGTGTAGCTCTGTTTCCCTAAACTGAGATCTTTGACTCTTCAGTTATTGTGACTTACTGGCAACCTCCACTTACTGTCTCTGCCCTGGTCTTCTGCAAAAACTGAGCAGGTTTTTCAAAGGCTGCTCTGGTTTGTCCCTTTGTGAGATCGGGACCTGTGCTCTTCCCGGGCACTCGGACACCAGCACCGGCTCTGCCAGTGCTTCAGCTCCCACTGACCCGCAGCCGCTCCCTAAGGACCAGCCTGGTTCTGCCCCGCTCACGGAAAAGGTCCATCCTCTCCCACTGATGTCGCATTCAGGATGATTTTCTTTTTTTATTATTTATTTTTTGAAAGTCTTCACATTTGTTTCTACACTTTCCATCATAATTTGGGGGAAATCAGAAGCCAATGCTCCTTAATGCATTGTTTTTCAATTCCTGCAGGCATCGATGCAGCATTTTGACTACTTCCAGGAGCTGAGACTTTTTCTGCAGCACTTTCTTGTAGCTTGTTCTATTGGAAGGGTTGCTGATCCCCATTCTGGGCTAGTTTGTCACATTTGAATTCTTTCTGCTTTATAAAGTTGCAGAAGTCCCAAGATTGTTTTTGGTTTTGTTTTTTAATTCATTCCAGGCCTTTTTTAAGAGTTCAAGTACTGTAGCCCCTTTCCTGGGAAGGGACCAGGTACAGGATGGTCCAAGGAGACTCTTATTGCAAGTAAACACTTGTTATGTGCTAAGGAATGTCCTGTAAATAGGGATGAGCAATTTCTGCTGGATCTTGGCCCCCGTACCTCAAGAAATTTTGAGATTTTTTTGTCCATTCTGGCTAGTTACCTACTTGTACACTCTGGATAGTGAATTGCTTTTGCACCTCTGAGTGTAATGAGCAGAAAGGAGTTATTTCTATTTGTACAATACTAAGTAGTCCAGTAGAAAAATCTAGTCCAGAATCACTAAATCAATAGGAGACATGACTTGAAACTGCCTCAACTAAACAGCAGCACCTGTCAAAACAGATCTTTCAGGCACCCTATTTAATGCTGGATGACTTAAGCCATGGAAAAGCAATTGCCTTGCAGTGAGCCTCCATAGAAAGTACTATGTTTATTAAAAATACATATATATTACGAGGCTGATTTCTAATTTCAAACCACAACCTGTGATACATGTACATGAGCATGTACAATCTCAGGTGGTTATACTGTCTGATTTTTCAGTTCCCCTTCCACTCTTGAGTGGCACTTGGCTGTAGCTGCCTGGAGCTGAGTAAGGAACTGGCT